TTTTTAATTTGACCGCAGTTGTCCTTGGTTTAAAGATTATTAAGTGTCACAATTCTAAAGGCTTGTTCGCCAATTTTGCCAGTATTCAATAAAACGATTGGTTGCTAAGATATTGCAGCGGGTGGCAACGAAAATTGCTTACTATCAACAGAAATTTGGAACGTTAATATTAACAAACGGATAAGCACATCATTGCCTTCTTTGCAACTGGTTCCTTGAACACAATGTCGCGACATTCGTCGTCTTTGAAATACACAAATTAAAACTTAATATTAAAAAAATGCAGAAAGCAATAGTCTATGTGGATTTCTCTTCTCTGAGTACATTTTTTCTGATAGAGGACTGCATATCAGAAGTTTTGTCGATAACTGTGTACTCCAACTTTTACTTTCGTTTCTCCCGCAGCGGGTGGCAATGAAAATTGCTAACTGTCAACAGAAATTTGAATGTTGATATTGACAAATGGGTAAGCACTTGATTGCCTTGTTTGCAACTGGTTCTTTGAACACAATGTCGCGACATTTGTCGTCTTTGAAATACATCAATTAAAACTTAATGTTAAAAAAACGGAAAACGGTATAGTCTATGTGGATTTCTCTTCTCTGAGTACATTTTTTTCCTGATAGAGGACTGCATATCAGAATTTCTGTTTATAATTTCAATCTCCAATTTTTACTGTCGTTTCTCTCCCAAAATTATTTGGATTTCAAGGCTTTTACATGGTGTTCTTCTCGTGTTGTGTTCATGCCAGCATTAAAACTATAGTTTTCTTCGTTGAATTATTGGCTATCCATTAGTCTCACCCAATTCAATGGACACATAACATCCAACTGGTTAGTATCCGTCTTCGCGAAATGTGGCAATATTTTTTTTTTCAGAATAACGGCATACGCCATAGTCCCTGACGCGCGCAACACTCGGCGCACTTGTCGGTCACTATCATCTGAGATACCAGAGCACGTAGCTAGGCGATAATGCAGTATCAAAGATTTACTAGCGCGTATTTCATGCATTGCGTGCGAAATAATTTCTTCAGGGATAGAAAGGCGTGCAGCCTTCTACTTTAGTTGCATGGACGAGTGAAGATGACCGAAATTCGGGTCGTGTAAAATCATGAAA